TCTTCTTCTCTCTTCTTCTTCTTCTTCTTCTTCTCTCTTCTTCTTCTTCTTCTTCTTCTTCTTCTTCTTCTTCTTCTTCTTCTTCTTCTTCTTCTTCTTCTTCTTCTTCTTCTTCTTCTTCTTCTTCTTCTTCTTCTTCTTCTTCTTCTTCTTCTTCTAAAACCTAAGAACAAGGTCTCTAATCAATCAAACAAGATCACAAACATGAAATTGGGCCAGGGTTTCATTAAGGGAGGTTGGAGGTTGAAAAGGATGTCCTAGGCCATGAACTAATGGCTTTAAATTTTGGGTTTTGAGCATTCTAACACTCCTAAGGTGTACATGCAACCCTAAATCCCTTGGATCTATGTTTTCTCTATTATACATGCATACTTGAACTTTCCAAGGTATTACCCTAACTAGTATACAAAACTTTGATACTTAGGTAATAAAACAAGTTAGATGACATACCTTTTGTTGCAGTTGGAAGCCTTGGACCTTTAAGAACTTAGTGCCCCAAGTGTTGCACCTCAAATGGAATCACGCAACACCACCAAAAAATTAGAAGAAACTTGAGAAGAGATATACACTCAAGAAATCAACTAGCACTTTTTACCAAGACTCAAGGTCACATTTCATGAGCTATGAGGCTTCTTATATAGTGTGCACATTAGGGTTACACCATGTAACTCGTGACTTCCACATTCCTCATGATCCATGGGTATTAACCTCCATGGAGTATCCATGGGTCACCACATAGGTTTAGCCCAACATGAAGAACTATGGAGCATAAGTCCACTTTATAAGAATGAATGATTTACCAGATCAATCCCCATTTATTAATTGGTCTCTTTTGATCACAAAATTAATTCCAAACTAATTCTTGATCAATACTAATTAAATAATATGATTTCATATTAATATACTAGAACTTTTCATATATTAATAAATCCTAAATATCCTCTTCTCAAAAGTCCATCCTCTAAATTGTTCTGGTGCCATGCAACCCAAATTGACCATGCTACTCTCAGGTTAAATACATACCAATAATAGTTATGGGCTTATACACCTAATCCAACAATCTCCGACTTGGATAAGTCTAATAACTATTATTGCAAGCATGACTCCAACCCGACTAGCAATCGTAACTCTTAAAATCCGTTGTCAAACTCTGACCTATTCAATGATGTGTCCATTAGATAAGGGATCATATATTCATCCATTCTAGATATCATATGGACTGAGACATGGATTATAATCATTCTCTATGTCCATCTGTTGTTTCCCGATTTCTGATTAATGACGACTGACTAAATGAACGAATCAAATTAGTCTAGGCCTGATGTCATCACTAAATCATCGAGGGGCCTACATATATCACTTTTATGCACATGGGGTAAAAGGAACGGATAAACTTCGACCCAAATGCTCGCTTGTACTTACTCATCAAATTACACACAATGATATGTTTTATAATAACCAAGTTACTGGTGCATTTACATATGTCAATGCGTAACCAACTCGTAACTACAATTCATATGTCTGTGTTTCAAGAATATAAGATATGTCATCTCACAATCACTCATGATAAAATCCATGAAGAGATTCAGATGAGCATGGGTTGAATCCAATACTCGAATCTTATTCCAGGAGTACTCATGAACACTGCAGCCACTTTGTCCTAGACAAACTACAGACTCATTCATGACAGTCTTGCCTCAATACATACTTCCAAAGTATGATCATATGCGAATAGTTGATATTTGCATATTTAGTCTTATATTAAGCATATATTTTTATCATTTATTAGCTAAATTATTGAATATCATGGACAAAAAGATACTTAAAAGTGTTTCAATTATGTTTTCAGTCCAAAGTTGAAGCTTGGAAGCAAAAGGAAGTAGGAGAAGCGGTTGGGAGCTCGGGAATTGAACAAAGAAGAAAAACCACCAAAAACAACACCTACTCGACGAGTAGGGTCGCCTACTCGGCGAGTCTGAGCGAAGGATCGAGAAGATAATGAGAAGATAAAGACTCCGTGACTTACCGTACACGGGATTTAAGTGATGGACTCGGCGAGTCGGGTCGCATCTATATATACGGATTCCCATGATCGACATTGGACATTCTGGAACCCTTGGGGAGAAGTAAGCTGCGAATCAGAGCCAGGAGAGACCTGAAGGACGAAGATACAACCTAGAATTCAATACCGAAGGAGATTTGAGGCAAATCTACATCATTCTACTTAATCTTTTGTTTTCCATTATGGCTAGACAATTAGAATTCGTTTTTATGCTATTAATCACCTCAAACATGAGCTAAAACTCTTAAACTTCTGTTTGGGGATACAATATTGATACTATGGATTGATTATTATGGTAGGATTAATTCAATGTTGGTGATTTTGTTGATTTTAGCTTGTTAAAGAACCTTAAATGTGGATGATAACTATTTTTCTATTAATAGGAAGATAATTAAATAGTATGAACATATTTTAATTGTCAACCTCATATGTATGTGACCACTTTATCATATGACTAGGACTAATGAACATGAAACTAGAATTAATAAGAAAAATAGGTAAATTCATGTGTGAGCTTGTGTGACGACCATCAACAAGAAGTTAACTAAAGGACCAAATTAGTTAGCTATTACAAGTCTAAATTAACCCGAATAAATAATCTAGTGAATTAAATTAAATTAGACAACTGATCACTGTTTGAGTTAGTTTGTTCTCTAAGGATTAGTGCAGCGAATGTGAATCTAATTACTTGAATCGGTAACCAATAGAAGAATTAATCCATTGCACTATTACCAGAATATCAACCATAGGATCAATTGAGTTGAACTAAACAGAAGTCCTTCCCATTATTCAATTTAGTTAAATCTTTGCTTTTCTAGTTTTTAGTTTAAGTAATAGTTAGTAAGTTTCTAGTCTGTAAAACTAGAGAAAAACCCCTACTTATTAATTAATTTAGATAAAATTAGTATTTAGTTCTAATTTTCCGTTCCTTGTGTTCGATACCCTACTTATTTAGCTTTACCACAATTGATAGGTTCACTGCCTTTTGTGTTTATTTTATAATTAAATGTAGGTTTAAAACTAGGTTGTTTTACACACATCAAGTTTGTGGTTTTACACACATCAATAGTCATGGAGGATGGTTGTTATGTGATGTAAGTAATATAATTATTTGATTATTACATACTACACTTCTAATAAATAATACTTACTTTACTACAAAAATAATAATTTGCAGCACATCATGATGTGGATCTCATTATTGATAGAGTGTAGAGCGGATGATGCTCGGTGGACGGTGGTGCCTTTAGCTTTCAACACCGATGCATATGACTGGAGTAACATGGCTAACAGATCCGTTTACCCAGCTTGGATAGATTGTGATATGGTATAATTTTGTTTGGATTACATTATATGAGTATTTATATACTAATTAATTATTTCTAACCTTTTTGTAGCTTTACATCCCAATCAACATACCACAAGTTCATTGGTTTTTGGGTTCTTTGAATTTGAAGACATTCAAAATGACTATATATGATAGTCATTAGAAGGGCAGCTATTGTTCGGAAAATGAGGATTGGTTTGTAGGTCTGAGAGCTCGCATCCACAAACTACTAGTGGGAGTCAACTACCGGGGTATCAAACCAACTGATTCAATCTCACTTGAGAGCTTCAAGATAACCCTGAAAAAGGCCCCAAACATACCATATAATAGATTGACAACAGAGGGGATTGTGATCTATTTTTTTGTTTGTTCCTGGAGGCAATTGATCGTTAGGAAATCGATTTCTGTACAGGGTAAAACCGGTCCATGGGCTTTGAGTTATTGAAAATGAACAACGGGAATTTTTGGGGTACAAGGACAAAAATAATTTAAACATCATATTTTTATTACCACCTATAGACACATCTTTTATTTAGTTTATGTATTTATTAGTTGTTTGTTGGTTTTAATTGCATTTTATATTTGATAAAAGCAAAAGGTATATATCTTATAAAAGTAAAACTTAAACTTTTTATAAAAGCAAAACTTTTACATTATATAAAACCAAAACTTACGCTAAAAGAAAAACCACATATTACACGTAAAAAAACCTTGGTAATTATATTCCGGAACCATGGTCTGGAACCGTACTCAGGAATTTCGGAAATCTCTGAAACAAGGTGTTCCGGAGAATGTGGTTGTTTTTCAGAAAAAAGGTCATTTATGTCAAAAGGTCATTTATAAGGGTTAGATTACTCAATTTGCCAATTATAAAATAGCCCCTAT